CGCCATATCAATCAAAGTTACCCATTTCGAGACGAGTTCTTTTCCTAAGTACGTCAACAGAGTGCACTTTGAGCGGGTCGTACATGCTTAGGGGTTTCTGTGGGGTTACAAAACTGGTGTTCACAAACTTAGGGAGACCACGATGTGCTCAAAACATCAAGTCGTTTTTTTGCTGACAGGATGGACCTTTCAACGCCGTCTGAAGGCCTCAAAAATCCCACGAGCACCGTGCTGCTTGCGTCAACCACCCCAGCAGCCTCAGCGGGCCTGCACGAGAGCCTGAAGGCCGGTCAAGCCGTCAGGAGTTGTGCGGCAGTCCACTTCCAAGGCCTGGCTCCAGCCTTCAGCGACATCAAGAGCGTCCCGGCGGCCGTGCCGCCTTTGCCAAACGCGGGAGGCGTCCGTGGAGGCCGGCCCTCGTTCGCGGCCAAGCATGGTGCTGCAGACTTTGCCTTCGACTATGGACTCGCCTTCAGCTTGCGGCCTGCCGGGGCCTTTGCTCGGGGCGGCTTTGGCTCGACGTGCATCGGGCGCACGTGCGGCGGGAAGGGAGCGGTCTACGCCCGGGGGAGCGAACCCTTTATCTGGCCGCGACAACGAAACCGGGGCGGCGCAGTCATTTGTCGGGGCGGTGGGGGGCATGTCCTGTGCTTGCGGTGTGTGGAGGCCCAGTACGAAGAAGAACGCCCCTTTGTCTCAAGCGCGACCGGGTGTCCCGTTCCTCAGCAAGAGCTCTTCACCAAGTACGAAGCCTTTCCTGAAACAAAAGAGCTTCGAGAGGTACGGTCAGGAGAGGCGGCGAGCGAGGGCGCCTACCAATTCTTCGTGCAGAGGAGGGACCTCGCCTCTTGCCCGTGCTGTCGTGAGCCCAAGGCCGCCTTGGGGCGCGGTGTCAAGAGAGCGCTCGAGCAGGGGCCGAGCCCATTGGAGCTCGGGACGGTGGCGATCCTTTCAGAGTTGAGGCGAAGCAAGATCCCTCCGATTGCGGTTGCCCCCGGCCTGTTCCTGGTCTCGTGGTTGGACCTTTCCAGTGGGCGCCTTCAGGACATTTCCGCCACGGATCGGGGGGTCGTCAACGTCCCCCGACTCGTGAAGGTCGACCACATGGGCAACTTCAGGTGCTTGTGCGGTCGGAAGGCGTGCCGGGATCATGAGATGGGGTTGCTTCAGGAGACCAGGTCCATGGGCGGCTGGTGGCAAAACGGGGAGGCCATCTTCACCCCGTTTGACGACAGCCGTCCGTTGGTGCGGGAGGTCACGAGCGGCGTGCCTTGGGTGTTGCCGCTGGACCAAGGCGGGTTCCTGGGGGGTGCTCTCTTTGGGCTGGACGCCGAGGCGTGGAAGGGCGGGCCGCAGCTCCGACTGGTTGTCGTGAGCAACCCCGGAGAGGTGTGACGGTTGGAC